TTGGCTTTTTATGTGCTGTTAGGAGCTCATAAAAAATGACAAAATGTTACATAACAATAAACATTATTTATTTTTAATATTAAAATATTTAATGATCTTTAACATTATTATGTAATTAACTATTGATTAAAATATACTATTTTATTTAAACTGACATTATTTAATAGAGCCCAAAACACAAGTTAAAGTTATTTTTTAGGAAACATTTTTGTAGTAAAGGGGTTAAAATAATAATAAATGGTGCCCCCAAGCATCTTTTGCAGCTTCGGCACTTGCTTTGTGATAGTGTAATATGACAGTTGATAATCATTTAGCCTGTAAGCATGCTTCCCTCTCTTCTAAGAATCGTGAAACAGAAAAGTCATTTATGTTGACCAGTGGCGTACATACCGGGTCGCAGGGGTCACGGCTGCGACCGGGCCCGGGCCACCAGGGGGCCCGGCCGCCCTGCGACCCGGTATGCATGCCAGTGTGGCCACATTTTGCCAGCCTCTTCTCCTGGGGGGCCCAGGAGCCGGCCACCTCAGGGCCCCCTGAGGCTAGCAGTAGCTTCAGTTTGCCGGGCGGCCGGGCTGCTGAGCGCGTGCGCGAGGGAGCACTCTCCTCTGAGTGCTCTCTGCCCAGCTCCCTCGTGCTGCTAACTGATGCCGGAGCCGGAATATGACGTCATATTCCGGCTCCGGCATCAGTAAGCAGTGCGAGCGAGGGAGCTGGGCAGAGAGCACTCAGAGGAGAGTGCTCCCTCCCTCACACGCACGCCCAGCAGCCCGGCCGGCCGCCCAGCAGGACCCCACTGGACAGCAGGACCCCACTAGACAGCAGGACCCCACTGGACCCCAGGGACAGCAGGAATCCCCAGAGCACTCCCAAAGGTAGGGAGGCTGGGGGATTAAATAAAAAATTTTTTAAATATGTGTGTGTATGTGTGTTAGTGTGTGTGTGTGTTACTGTGTGTGTGTGTCTGTTAATGAGTGTGTTAGTTTGTGTGTGTCTGCTACTGAGCATCAGTAAGTGTGTTAGTGAGTGTTACGGTGTGTGTGTCACTGAATGTGTTTGTGTGTCTGTTATTGAGTGTCAGTGTGTGTGTGTCAGTGA